CCATGATCAGCCAATTGTATAGTAAATAATAGTAGAGTATATAATAAAAGTACAAGATTTTTATGAAAACACATGTACAAATTCTTTAGGCATTTTCTGTTAAAAAATTAAATAATCCTCACAGGTGATTTTTAAATTTTCCTCATTTCTCCCAATACAAATGCTTTTAGCTGTCTAACATTACAGATACATTGATCTCCTTCCATGTATTATTGTCAATGAAAATGTATGCTCTTAATTTTCAGGTTAAACCTTCTTACGGTTTTTGTCTCTGTCTTTCTTATTCACAACATGTCAACATATATGTGTTCATGTAGCGTATCCAGTCTATCTTCTAGACCTACATCCTACATTAACATTTAAAAGCTGCAGAAGCCCACTTCACTAATGGTAATGGTGGAGAGAGCTTGCTCAACAGCATGCTAATATCCTCTCTCAAGCCTGTCCCCCTTTCTTCTAAGGACAGACTGGCAGTTATAATGTCCCAAATGAGCCCTGATAAATCTTCAAGCCACATCGTTTGGTTTATGATTGTCACCATAAAACCCACATTTAGTAGCATGCACTTTTCACCCATCTAGTCTGCACTGTAAGTTTAACAGCTGGTATTTTCAATGAATATACAATGTAGCTATGATTAATACAGGCTTCGGGAAGGGAAATTAGATTCTTGTGTATCTGCTGAATTAAGGTTTAATTGGTACTAATATCTTATCAAGAAAGTATGAAAATCTAGATGTAAGCATTAAGGGTATCAATGACCTGGAGTTCTTCTCTATAAATAAAATTGGATTCCGTTAAATACTTCATCAAAGAATAGGGGGCTCTGAAATTGTTTTTGAACCAGTAACAAGACAATTGCTCTTTTCACAGAGGAAGAACTAAAAGCCTCTTTCTTCATGTAGCTATTGAGCTCTACTGAATGCTCGGACTGTAATTTTTAAGTTTGGCATTACTAAAAAGATAAAAACATAATTTTTTTCTGGAATGTCATATCTCCAATACACTCCTGGATTGGAACTTTGGATTATTATTCTACATTTTGGACCATTGTAAATTGAAGGCAAACCTGACTACTGGATTAAACCTATCAGTTTGTCAAGACACTGATCTCCTATTTCTGAAATCCAACTACAAGTCTTTTCCCCTTTTAGCTGGGTGACACAAAGTATAGTAAGCATCGAGGCAGCCCCAGGTATCTGTCAGTCTATCCATACCTGCGAGCCGAGCCGAGCCGAGCCACACACCATCTTAATGAGTGTCTGCCAGTGATCCCAGGATTAGGTTTTCAATCCATCTGATTGACTGCTCGATGTGATGACAAACATCTAAGGCATGCGCTTCAAATCCTCTTATTTCTATACACTATCTACACTTCATCTCTCACGGCCAGTGTGCATGTCTGTCGGTGTAGTGCTTGAATGTATGTGTGTGAATGTGTGTGTGTACTAAGTTCATATCAGAGTTAGACAGTATTTTCTAGTACAGAGATATTTAAACTACATCTATGTAAGCTCTGCTAATCAATCATCGATTTATCTGTTCCTTCCAATCCATAAATAACCGTTACAAATTTTGAACCTAAGTTCATATCAGGATTAGATAGCATGTTCAAGTACTTAGTTATTTGTAGTACATCTATGTAAGCTCTGTTAATCAATCAATGATCTAACTCTTCTTTCCAGATTTCAGGTTTCAAATTTAGTTATCTATTTCCATCAACAATTTTCATCTATTTTAAACAACCTTTACATCTGGGATAGACAGCTGGTACAACTACCAGCTTGGGTTCAAAATCTACTCATAAACTCAGTACTGCTATTTTTGTATCTTTCAGATTTCCAACCAAAATATGCATTTCCAGGTTGAAACTGAGTAAAGCATGGAGCTGTTGGCACGACATGATCTATCTCTTCCTTCAGCTTTCCATTATGGAACATCATTGATTCTAACTAAGTTTAAAAAAACAGCAGGTTCAAGTAAAGAGCTACTGTGTACGCTACGCACCCCATTTGTGTAAATGCTACTTCTCAATCCAGTTTTATTAATTTCTAGCCTGAGCTCATACCAAAGCAGCTGAATTAGCATGGAGCTCTTTCCACTGTATCCATGTAAGCCCTGCTAATCCATCAAAGGTCCCTTTTTTTCCCTTTTTGCCGACAATCAAAAAGAACATCATTTCATTTATGTCGGACATTGTCAGTTATGAGCCAGCAGGGTTTTAACCATGAGTTCAATGTTCAGAATTAATCCCCTTCTCGCTCTTCAAAGGCAATATCCTATGCAATAACCTGCATGAGCAAGGACAGAACTATTTGAACTTCATCGATGTAAGGACTCAATGATACATAGAGTCCTACCAGATTTCAATCCATCCAATTTTATCTAATTTCAAACCCAAGATCACATTAGGATTAAAAAACATATTTCTAATACGTGCTACAAGTGTGTCTACTAGTGTACATCTACTTGTTAGTCAGGTCTGCTGATAAAATTACAGTCTCTGCTCTCTTCAGATTTCAATATAGGGATTTTCTTCTATTGTCGGTTTCTACAAGTCTGTCTGGTTCATCTATGTAATCTCTGCAATCAATCTCCGGTATCTCTCTCGTTTTTCAAATTTCCATCGAGTATTTTCATTAACCTTGGTTCATATCAAGGTTAGATGGCATGATACTATAATATGTCTCCTCTATCTACATAATCTCTGCTATTCAATCAATGACATCTCTGTTCCAAGTCATATTTGCATCCAGGATTTTAGTTACGGTAAAAATTAAAAATAACGTCTCGTTCAGATATGTTGCAGTAAAACTGCTGTGTTTTTTAATGATTTAAAAAAGAAGTGTTCTATGCATCACATTTCTGTATCATATCAGAGCTCAGTGAATATGTTAAGAACCTGTTGCGTGCGATTGCAATTCATTTACACATAAGAAAATCAAAGCACATTGTTTGTGACCATTTACCATGTTATATCTGAAAGAGCTTTAAATTTCTAATCTAAGTTCACATCTGGTTTAGATAGCGTGTTAACGCATACTGATACAAGTGCAAAAAAGAACAAATTTAAGTACTCAACCTTCACAAGCTCAGCTGATCAATGAACGATTTTTAAGACCCTTTAAAATTTCCATAAAGAACTTTAAATGTGTCTGCACAAAACAACTGGTCACCTTTGCCACGTTAATCTAGTGTCATATGGTACCTAACATCAGGTTCCATACTGACTTTTGTGTCAGGTTCATTTCAGTAAATTTTCAGTAATTGATAAAACAAGGAGGGTAATATATCAAATGAATGAGGCTGTCAATTGTAATAGGGGGTTATTTGGCTTTAAGACACATGCTCCTGATCCTGTCAATTCCATACACCTAACAAATTCCTAACTTTAACCTTGGCTTGGACTAAACGCTATACCCAACTCAAACCCCAACACAAAGCTTAACCTAAAAGCAAGTCATAAAAATTACCGTACTAACCCTACACTTAGATGAAAGTATCAAGCCCTTGTTATGTTCTTCCGATTATTTGAATATTTCTCCAGTTTCACATGCCTGTTGTGATACCCACCTCTCACACATTCTGCTCTCTGCTAATGACCCTCCCCCCCCCAAAAAAAAAAACAAAACAACACACACACAATAACAACCTCACTCCATGATCTAGCACCATTCCTGGTGAGACCTTAAAGTACTCGCATGGCGCCCAGTGTTGCCTGATTTTTGTTTTCTAAATCCAACAGATCGAGAAGAGTATAGGCAGCTCCTGGGCATATATGCATGCTGAAGTGCATTACAAAACAAAAATCAGTACGCATCGACAACCTTGTGTTTCTCCCCCTCCAACCATTTTGCATGCAATGTATACATGCAGCATGATTTGGACTCTGAGGCCTCTACATACATTGTAGGCAATATTCAATGTACGAGCAATGGGTATGATCATGATAGAATTCGCTTTCACATACTGTTTGGTGTTTTCATCTAAATTATACAGAATTTCTTTCAGGGTTTCAAGGTTTCAAGGATATTTTGTTGCAGCCAAATGGCCGCATTGAGATCATTATGTATATCAGTAAAATAGGGGAAAAAAGGAAGAAGTTTAAATTAAGAAATTAAAGATGCAGTCACAATGATAGAAAATTCTCAGAAATTCTATATTCAGAATTCCAAGAGGTACATGAGTAAAATGTCCCATAAACATTTATATAATCCAATTGTGTTATGAGAAATTTGATTATGAAAATGTGAATCCCGTATTTTTGCAAAGCAAATGTGAAAGGGACCACTTCCATAGCTAGGTGCATGTAAGTCTAATCAGCCCAGACACAATTTGTGTAATTTTACAGGAAAATTGCTGCTATTAAAGCCGTAGCAGGAAAAAACAAAAACAAAAGCGTTTGATTGGACGGAGATGAGGATGAGGTAAAAAGAAAAAGAAGTAAAACTGGATGAACTGATAGATCAAGAAACAAAATCTTAGCTAGTCTGCCAATGTGTGCTCTACTCATAAAGAGGAGAGACTGTCACAAGTGCTGACTCAGTTCACATGCAAACAAGATGTTCAGAGACCACATCATTGTATGTTCATCCAATCAGTGCGTGTACGGAATGACAGATATTCTCTCCTTCATTGACAGGTGACATGCTAAACTCTATTTGACTCATGCTAAATTGATGACTGCACTGGAGCTGACGATTTCAGTTCACATTTGTTACAAAATACCATGTTGGGATTGCTCTGTAAGTGAAAAGGAACGCACAGCTGATACTACGAAGTTGATCAATTCTATCAGATTTATTATCATTTTGCTTTATGTAAAACTGTAGGCACCTGTATGATTAGACATTTCTCTTAATCATGTTAAAGTAAAGTAAAGAAGTCAGATGAGGTGTATTTTCAAATATGTAGTGTAGGGAGAAATAACTCCAGTTATAGGTCACTGTTGATTAGCAAAGTAGTCACTAGTAACATACAAGCAATATGACAAAACTTACTTTGTTTCATCTAGTGTCATGAATTCCATTGAGCTGTCTCTATTCTCCTTGTTATCTTTGTTGTTGTTTGGAATGTGTCCATTGCTGTAGATACCGCTGGAGTTGATAGGGGGCTCTAGTTCATCACCTTCCTCTAGCGCTCTGTTCACCTCATCAAATGTGACGACTGGATGGTGAAGAAAAAAAAAGAAGATTTATACTTAGTAATTACTTCATGTGTCTTTAATTAATGATTAATTTAATTTCATGTGGCATTGTGATTGAACAAAACAGTTAATAAGAGCTTAAATCACAATGTATGAATTCTTGAGGCATTTTGAACAATTTGTGGAAAGTCTACAACTTTTACAGGAGGAAAATCATAATAATGTTTTTTAGTTGAGAATAATTGCGAATACATGAAGCTGAGAAGAAAAGGATATGATGAAATCTTTAATAATGTTCAATGGAGAATACCGAGATGAGCACTACGTTGTCTCATTTTGTTTTCTGAACTTCAACCAACAAAAGTTTCAAAGAACCTGACAAATATTCGGGATTAGGGTTGTGACTGTAAGGTCTATGGTTGGTCTGATAAAGTGTTAGGTCCAGGGTTGAATTGTGGAGTTTAATTAGTGTTAGATGTTGACCATGGTACAGAGCACACATCCAACAACCCAATTAGCTTTTCCCAGCCTCACATGAATGGAAATGTGTATTTCACAAGTACATTAACGCCGGATAACATAAATGTAATCCGACTCTTATGTGGTCCTTTTAAGGAGGACAAAAATCAATAAAACGATGGCAAAATGCTGACTTCTGTCTGGGTCTGGTGTACACAAGCTTTGAGGCTGTACTTAAAATAAGCACCATCTGGACTATTGGCCTGCTTCCTGCACACTGAGTGAATATATTAAGGGCATTAACACACATTCTGGTCTTGGATTTCTTGCCTTAAGCATGGCAGCCGCCGCTGGAAGGATTCGCTGGAAGGATTGGCTGCAAGGATTCGCTGCAAGTTATAGGGAGAGGCCAGACAGGATCAAAAGTTTTTAAGAAGATGGACAAAAGTATGGCAAGAGAACAATGATAAAAAAGTTGATGTATGGAAATAGGAAATTAAGGAATGTTTTCTGCAGAGCATATTCATAAAGTATTTAAGCCATGGTCAGGTCATTTCTCTTTTTTCTTCATTTCTGTTTTAGTGAACAAGATATTTAGGGGCTTTAATTGATTTAGAGAGAGAACAAAATACAAACCTAAATATTAACTACAAGTTGTAGTTAATATTTAGGTTTGTATTTTGTTCTCTCTCTAAATCAATTAAAGCCCCTAAATATCTTGTTCACTAAAACAGAAATGAAGAAAAAAGAGAAATGACCTGACCATGGCTTAAATACTTTATGAATATGCTCTGCAGAAAACATCTACAACACATTAGATTCATGCAGTAAGCAATACATTGTCTCTGATACACAGAGAAATATTGGTCTACATTTTGATGCTGCAACTACAAAACTCTGAATTAGTATTATGAGTAGAGAGTGGTTTAACAACAAAACATATGCCACTCAGGAACAAATGAGTCTGCTTGCAAAAGGAAAACTGTTAATCACTTAAATCAGAAATGACATCTAATGTGTTCAGCCATTTCATGAAGGCAAGTTACTATTACAGGCTATGTTAATGAAATCCATACATGTATGTCACCACCACATTACACCAGGCCTCGGATCAATTGCTATGGCAGTCAGGAGTACAGGAAAGACAACAGACTAACTTTCATAAAAATGCAAAGTATTATTGTATCAAAGAAGAGGAGAGCATATAAATAGTAAATTACCAACAGAAAAGCTGGAGAAAAAAAATGTCATCAATCCAAAAATAACGGTTTGTAATTACATTTTGAAGAAAAATAACTGAAAAAAGAAAGAGGGGTAAAGGATTATCACAGGATTAGCACACGCATCACACATGAACACCACAGACCTTCACTAATCAGAATCACACGTCTCACTTCTCATCCTCACAAAACCTAAGCCTCTTTTAAAACCAGTGAATGCATATTTACATGGATCATGACTCCCCCAAGTAGCACCGGACATAGCGCCGAGCGGTTTCAGACTTTCCACTGCGACTGACACAAAATGAGCATGAAACCTCGCTGTCCTCAAACCTTTTCCGCTTCGCCTGCACCTGAATACACCCAGCAGACCTTAATGCTGAGCGTCAACTCAAATGAGAGAGGGCTTGGTGCGGAGGCTGGATTCAACAATGTTCCATACGACCTTGGATAACATGTATGCTTCATGTGCTGCATGCCGCTGTCGATGCTGATGTTATTGCTCGTGCTACCTGTTTGCCAATCCCTCGCCTTCTCAGAAGCCAGACAAGACTTTATTTGGTAATAGAATCAATGTTCAAATCAATGTTTCCTCACCGATCATTGATCAGACCAGCATTGGCAGGCAGTCCATTTTTAGCATGGGATTTAAAGGTGCATTGCTATCTAATATTGATCTGCCTGGGGGGGGGGGGGGGGGGGTGATAAAGATGGATGATGCTATTATACACAAAATTACCAGAAAATGGCTGTGTCAATGATGGCTTCTTCCTTCATGTGCAATGCAAAATGTATTACACTGATTTAATTATCTACTTCCACAGGAAATAGACTGATTCAAATGTGTATCTAGCAAAAGAAATAAAAGCCTCACAGGAGCTCCTCAAACATACCTAACACTAATTGAATTCATGAAAATGCTCTACACTTCTATATTACAACTTACAATCTTACCTCAGGCCAGGTAGGAATACAATCAATAAAAACATTCACAGAAGAAAGTGAGAAACTTAAGTGTGATACTACCATTGGTTTTAGTTCCACTGATATTTAAGGTTCATGCTATGCACTGTGACCGCTCATCGATGTTCGATATATTTGACATCATGCACTCCTCAGGTAATACAGGAGTACACTGCACATTCTTTCTTGTATAGAATTACCAAGAGGTGAATGAAATAGGGCAAGAGACGGCAAAAACAGGTGGGTGAAAGTGCTTTTCTTGACCCAAGTGCCAATTGAAAACAGAAGTGTTCAGAAGAGTGCCTACATTCCAAAAAGCGAAAAATATCCACTAGCTTGAAACTTTAAAAATAGATATCACAGCCAGCAGAATATTCATTAGAATATCACGCAAATCATAAATGCATTTCACATTTTCACATAAAATTCTATAATCACAGTATTCACACACAAATATAGTGATCAGCTTAATCTTGCACCGTCAACCCTTCAGGCTTAAGATGGCAAACAGCACATGTTGGCAACTGCAAAAAGATGCTTAAGTGCTTTGTAGATAATCTTTGTGAGCCAAAATTTTTGATTTAATGATTTTTCCCATGAGGTGTATTAGGCAGACAGTTAATGTGTGAATAGGTTAAATTTGAACACTTCACTATCCCTCATCCTAGATCACCAACTATGCCTAGCAAAAGTACCATAACAGGATCTTCTCATCTATAATGCTTAACATATAACATTCAGAGCACGACTTGTTTTGCACAAAGTGTCTGTTCCCTTGGTATCATCAGCCCTCGTATCTTTTCCTTCAAAGATAAAAATTTCCTAGAGGTCGACCAGTACATTTTCCTCTCATTTCCATCTTTCTCATTTCAAGTTAGGGTAATCACTATTATTTACATTTTTCTTCTCAATTGGAATTATTTTATGTCAGTCTATACAACTTTGGGGAAGAATACCAAAAAAGAAGAAAATCAAACACAATCTTCAAGGAGTTCAGTTTCCTTCCCCCTCTTGTAAATGATGCAGAAGTGTTGACTATCCCCAGGGTTTCCCCTTTTCTTCCCAATCTTTGTTAAAAAGCTCTAGTGGATCCATTGACATTTGGGAATTCCAATCTCAGGGTTTGTACTCAAACACTTCACGTTTCGTCAGATCGCATGACCAGAATTTGCTCTCAAAGTTTTCCCGATATTGATTCCTCTTGTCAAGTGGAAAGATAGAGCAGGGTAGCTTTCAACCGTGGTAAGCATAGACTGATGAATGCAACCGATTTAAACAATCCTCTACAAATCCTGCCCACATCATTTCTATTTAATCTTTCACATAATGATGATGAGTACTGGTGAAGGAACTGCATTGTGAAAGAAATTTGATCAAATATACTAAATATTGCTTTAGAATCACATAAGCAGAAAACTATGAACATAGATTGGAGGGTATGGGACTATACACAACATGAGGCATCAAAAGTTTGACCATAATGGTTAACCATTTCTGGTCATATTTTGGATATGACAGCATTTCAAAAAGAGCAATCTCCTTCATGTAACATTGCTTCTAATATTAAGAAGAGTTGCATCTTAATTTTTCAGTCTTGACTATCTCCGTATTACAGCTGATGGTCATTTTCTGACCACCCCCTTTAAAGATTCCCAAGTGTCTTGTACAAAGTTTATAGCCACTGATGCACTGTGCCAAAATCTGATTATTAAGGTAGTTTGTTCATCAAGCTGACAGGCTGCTGATTTAGGGCAAAGTAATTTTATTCAGCTGCGTGGGACATGGCTAATTCAGCCTGGAGACACACTCGATGTCACTGTCAAAGCGGCTTGTCATCATTACAGATCGGATCATGAGAAAAATCAATAGATTCGCAACCCCCAGTCTGTGTGGTGCTTCTTGTCACCTGGATTGGTGTGGCTCGCACTGGACCTGTCATCCATGGCCTACCACATCCACAACCATGAATCATTGAATCAGTCTTCAATACTGATCCTCCACACTTGCAACCATGACTGTGCATATTGTATATTGACAACCAAAGACAAAGCAAGGATTCTCCCGAAGATAAGGGCATAGATTAATTCTTTGCCTGACCTCCGGTGCTCATTCAGCGGGTTGTGGTCTGGCAAAGAATACATGTAATGTTGAAATTCAAGAAATACCCCCCCTCCCCCATAAAAGTATTTTTAAAAGTTCAACTATCTACAAATAACAATACTTTTTCAACAAAAATGGGTGTCAATATTTCTTTAACATACATTTACAGACTGCCTACTGGACAACCATGGACATCGTTGCAGCCTTACTGGCAACTATAGATCTATTATACATTGGATGTAACGCAGTCAACCATGGATCTATATGATATTAACTGC